AAGAGTTGTACCGAGCTTGTGGAAGCCAGTCAAGCTTTTGTCGTCGGTGATCGAAGAATAATCTTACTGGACACACCCGGTTTCGATAATACTGCAATGATGCTATCTGATGGAGATATATCGGAAGCAGTTGTGGAATACATGAAAGCGTAAGCTGCTTGCTGCCTTGTGTCCAACACTTTAACAATATACACAGGGGGAGGGGAGATAGGAAGCTTTACGGTATAATATACCTGCAAAATGTCGATGAAAGGAGGCCCAGAGAAGCCGAAACGTTACTAAAGCCTTTCGAAGAGCTCTGCGATAATGTTTCTCCCCGTCGTGTCGCCCTTGTTACAACCATGTGGGAGTCGGATCACTTAAGAGTAGGGGAGGCGAGGGAAAAAGAGCTAAAGGAACGCGAAGAGTTTTGGGCTCCTGCTCTGAAGCGGGGGGCAAAACTTCACAGACACGACGGCACAAAAGAATCCGCTGAGAATATCCTCCTTTCCTTATTCTCGACACAGGATACCGCCCAGCCAACGCAAGATTATCGTTTGATAGCGTGAGTTCCTCTTTTAGCCCACGCGTACGTCAACTTAGACAATGCAGTGTTATGGGTTCAACAGGGACCGGTAAAACGACAGTGAGTCTAGCAATATACACGTCCCGAATACCAGTTCATAAAATGTATTGGCAGTTCATCAATATGGCTAGCGGCTCGCACTTGAAAGTTAGCACCGGCCTCAGAAGCTGTACCATGGACGTTACGGCCACAGATCCCTTCCTTGTGAAAGATCAAAAGGTGGTCTTACTGGATACTCCCGGTTTTGATAACACAAACGCATCGGATTTCGATATACTAGAAGAAATTGCACGATATATGACCAAAACGTACGTCTCCAGCTCCCTTCTTATTTCGAGTGCTAACAGAGAAATTAGATACAAGAAAAGGCGATTACTCGATGGGATACTGTATTTCCACAATATCGTGGATAACGTGATGGGAGCAAAAGCACAGCGCAACCTACGAGTATTTCAAAGTCTCTGTGGGAACGAATCCCTCAAGGCAGTTGTAGTAGTCACTAACATGTGGGGGCTAATACCTAATATGGATTTAGGAGTCGCACGAGAGAAGGAGCTGGCAGAAGATCCAGTTTTCTTCGGACAGCTTCTTCGAAATGGTGCAGGGCTCAGGAGACATACTGGTACTAGAGAATCTTCGCATGAGATACTTTCATCTCTGCTTTTCAAAGGAGATAAACAAGAGGTACTGAACATCCAGACCGAGATAGTGGATCGCAAACTTCTGCTGGAACAGACCTCTGCCGCGGTAGAGCTGATTAAAGAGTTTGATTCTATAATTCGAAACCTGGTGTGTCCAGTAAGATTATTCTTCGATCACCGACGACAAAAGCTTGACTGGCTTCCACAAGCTCGGTACAACTCTT